GGTTCCTAAAGCTGCACTGTTGAGTAAATAAGGGAGCAATATACAATAAAAACTTTCGATACAGTACAGTTGAAAACTGTGTCATGTAAATATATCCTAAACTCTACTGTGATGGTCAAGACTTTTTCTGTGAATTTTTATAGACTTTATAGCAGTTTATCCAGTTTTCCTCCTCACAATCCATTGCAATTTCACAGGCAAATGTAAAAAAGTTATAATAAACATTATAACCCTCTGTGACAACATGCCCTAAATTAAGCAACAAAACAAGTAAGACATGTAAAACAATTCAAATAACAGCAAAAAAAAGAGAGAAACAAAATCACATGAGAAAATATCACACCTTTAGTTTACCCAACAAATACTGCTTTCTCAGAGAATGTTTAAGACACTAAAACCACTGCTCTGACCTCAGATTCATGAATATAGCCTTTTAAATACATTATTTACAGTATTTTATACTTTACTTACTACTGCACCTCAGTGGTTTTATTTGAAGCATTTAATAAACTTATTGACACACTAGGCATGACACCTCATCTATGATGACACTAAAAACAATATTAAGCAAATATGACATGACCTGCATTCTATTCACTTCTTTGTATCACATTTTTATCAATTTACTAAGACGAAATATTGATAGCTTTCTTGTTTTATTGAACATACACAGGCTATTTTTGAGAAGTATGAGCAGTAACAAGCCAAAAACACTGCATCTGATTCATGCATCAGCTGATTGACTAACTGCGTAGCAAAAAAAAAAAAAAAAAAAAAAAAAAAAAACAGAAACTATGCCATCAAAGATCTGGATAACTTTAAAAGCAAAGCATGAAAATTAAAAGATTGTAAGACACTGTGATAGCATGACAATGTATGGTGCATTTTTGGATTAAAACCGCCCTCGACGTGTGGGCTTGTGCATCGGTCAATGACGACCCCATTTTCGCTAATAAACTACTATTGTACAAATCTAATGTTGTAGACATGTATAAATGTGCTTAATGGTGGCATGGCTAGTGTAAAATGAAGATTTTAGACAGAATAAACACGCCGCATATAACCTTCCGATCAATGCTGGCCTTACCTTTTGGATTTTACTGCTTCGTTTTCTGTTGAACGACAAGACGAATTCCTATAATCATATAGAGATCGAAATAGTTTTACAATGTACTCCTGCTGTAATGAATCCTGCGCAATTTCAAAACGACGTCCTTTTGCGACTGTAGTCCACAAAGATAGCGTTGCTATTGTGCGTTAGAGATTTGTTTCCCCATGACTCCAGACACACACGAGTACACGTGCTTCCCGAGCTGTCTACAAGCCCCTTTTGCGTTGCGGAATTCTGTTGGCTGAGCGCGCAGCAAACCGCAGAGCCCAGCGGTGCATTCTCCGCCCACTCACGGCGCACTGTTCGCTGATTGGTCGAGGTCAAGGGCGCTCGGCTCACGTTCATCTGCTGTCACGTTGCAGAGCGCCTGTTGTTGTTGTAATACATGAGCCCGAAGAGCGTGTTGCGGGCAGTAGCCTACGACATATTGCTGTAGATTCACTTTCATGCTATATTCACATACTATTGTAACCCCAGTAGTTTTAACCCTCTTGTGTTCAGTGAAATCACTCACTTTATATGTTAAATTACATCAATTTTTTAAAGAAGGTTTGTAGTATTTATTTTAAATGTAAACGCAAATTATATGTGAGTTTTCATGACCACTTTAAAAAAAGCAATTGACAAAGTGAACTAAATGGTGTTAACTGCCTTATGCGATTATTGATAAAATGTAAAACGTCTATGCATATCAACTAAAAATCATTGAATTGCTTTTTATTCAGACCACCTGTAAAGTGAATGGGGCTTTCCAACACAACTGTTTAAAAAGCATTGCGCAGCTGGCTTGAACCCATCCATATACCGTGTGCTTGAATCTCACCAGTGAATGAGCCATGCACAGTTCCACGTGCAGCCGGGGCGGGGCTGTGTGTGACGCCAGAGCTCCCCCAGGAGTCACGCGGCTCGCGGTGTGGCTCGCTGTTTCTGTATGGATGAATTCAAGATGGTCGTCAGAAAGGCGTCACTATCATGCTGACCTCCATTTATCCGATTGGTAAAAATGGGCCGTCTCGTTGCCAGAGTCTGGCAAGTGCGGTTTTGGAGGCAGGGTGCATTAAGTAACCCATATTTAGAAGTTGTAATACCCAACAGAAAGCTAAACTCAGTCACTGCATGGGTAAACAAAATAGGTACGTACGCACATTAGGTTAAGACACGATAAGTTGCTAATTTCGAAATGTCCTACTTTGCGGTGAAATGTGCTTACATTTTTTTGGGTAATCAGTGTTTAGCTAGCCTATACAACTCAACATTTATACTATTCAACAGTTTTGTTTAGTTGACTAAATAAAGAAATGGTTGGTCTATATAATTTTAACAATATGACACCAGTTCGTGGCTAATATTTTGCCAGACCCTTTCTGCTCAGCTGTCACAATTCTTTTTGTTAATTTGCAATATTTTTAGACTATCTGCCTGAGTTTCAAAGTGATCGGAATGGGGAAGAAAGATGCAGTAATAAGTGAAATGATGCATTGTCAGGCAGGTAAGTTGAACCTGATATACTGGAAGTTTCATACACAACCTTCCCTGGAGTTTGCAGCGAATGGTTGGTTAACCAGAAATCTATCCAGTGTCAGTTCTGTGGGTGAAGATGCCTGAAGGTGAGATGATAACGGTTAGACTGATAAATGCAATATCAAATCACAATATGTGCACACCACTAATATTTGTTTCAACTGTAAAATTGTTTCAGCTGAGGTCTGCAAGGCTGCAGTTTGCACAAAGCACCAAAAAAGGAAAAGGTTTGCCTGCCTGGTCTGCCTTTTTGTTGTTGTTGTGTTGCAAAATGTACTGGATAAAGACTGGACTGAATCTCCTCTAAGAAATTACAGTTGTTTGGGTCAAGTAAGAATTATTTCACCAGTATCCTCACCTTGGCTCAGGCATTTATAATCTCAGCCTACTATGTGCGTATTAGGCATTAGCAGCAATGTGTCCTCAGGCTTCATGCATCTTTTAATAGACACACCATGCGTATCTAAAAAGCAAAAAAGAAAGGGGGGAAGAGCCTGTTTATCTTGGAGTCAAATTTATTTAGGCTGTTTATATATTTGTTTATTTATTTGCTTATTTGTTTATTCACATTTAGACAAATGTCAAATTGTCTAAATGTCTGCAATTCTTCAGATTTATGTATACTTTTTTTTTTTTTTTTTTTTTGCATATGATAAAGTAAATCATGAGCCTCCATTTGCTGTAGCAGCATCCAGTGCGCAATGGTTCTAAATGGAGTCTGAAAGCTGATTTCGTCGACATGTTAGTGCCATCTGCTGGTCACTTCTTTTTTCAAACATTACAAGCAACAGTTTGATGCATCAGAATTTTCCCCCAAAAGTGACTAACAGAATTTATATATATATGTGTGTGTGTGTGTGTGTGTGTGTGTGTGTGTGTGTGTGTGTGTGTGTGTGTGTGTGTGTGTGTGTGTGTGTGTGTGTGTGTAAATGTATGTATGTATTTTTTTAATGAATGTATTTAAATTTAAACATTTCTGTCAAATGACATTTACAAGGGCCCTACGCTTATTGAAAGCACTTTCAGACAAATGGATTTAAGGCCTGGACAGTACTGCTTCAGTTAAATTAAAATTAAGTTTGTTATTTTTATGCTATTTCAATCAATAATTGTTCTGTGCTTCTGTCTGAAACTGAAAAAAAAAAAACGAAATTCTTAAATTAAAAATATAAAATTTAAATCTTGTACAAGAACTATGACAAATAATGGACATTTTATCAATATTTCAGAAACTGCATTTAATTATTACCAATATTGTAATAATTACAATATTACCCTATTTAATAATTATGCGTTATCCTGCTGGAAATAGCCAGATGGACATGGTCAGCAACAATACTCGGGTAAGCTGTGGTGTTGACACGTTGATCAATTGGTACTAATGCGCCCAAAGTGGGCCAAGAAAATATCCCCCACACCATTACTCCACCACCACCACCAGCCTGAACTGTTGACACAGGGCAGGATGGATCCATGCTTTCAAGATGTTTAGTGCCAAATTCTGACCCTACCATCCGAACGTCGCAGCAGAAATCGAGACTCATCAAAACAGGGAATGTTTCTACAAATCTTCCATTGTCCAATTTTGCTGAGCCTTTGTGAATTGTAGCCTCAGTTTCCTGTTCTTAGCTGACAGGAGTGGCTCTTGGTGTGGTCTTCTGCTGCTGTAGCCCATCTGCTTCAAGGTTGGACGAATTGTGCGTTCAGAGATGCTCTTCTGCAAACCTCGTTTGTAATGAGTGGTTATTTGAGTTATTGTTGCCTTTCTATCAGCTGGAACCAGTCTGACCATTCTCCTCTGGCGTCTGGCATCAACAAGGCATTTGCGCCCACAGAACTGCCGCTCACTGGATATTTTCTCTTTTTCTGACCAATCTCTATAAACCCTAGACATGGCTGTGCGTGAAAATCCCAGTAGATCAGCAGTTTCTGAAATACTTAGACCAGCCTGTCTGGCACCAACAACCATGCCACATTCATAGTCTCTATAATCACCTGTCTTGGGTTGAGAATTTGGACAGGTGTACCTAATAAAGTGGCCGGTGAGTGTACAACGGTGCTTGATTTAAAATGAACAGTGCTTTAAACAGTCCTTGAAAGTCTTTGAATATGGTGTTCATGAAAAAGTGAGAACCCTGAATTTAAGGAGAAACTTGCTTAATTTTGACTTGGGCTTTCTGAAAACAAGACATATGTTTAATTCTCTAGAAAATGCTTTTAAGATTTATTTTTGAAACAAACATGTAAGATATATATATATATATATATATATATATATATATATATATATATATATATATATATATATATATATGTGTGTATATATATATATATATATATGTATATAAAAATCTATTTTACCAGCCTTTATTTTTAAGAGTGTATAATATGAATACTCAGATATAGCATGCATTAGTGACAGCTCACTAAAATACTACGGCTCCACATGTTTGCAAACTAAAGGAATATTCACAGATTTCTCCTGCTGGTCTGATCTTCATGTTTTTCCTCCACTTGGTGATTTGCAGCTCCTTTGAGCAGTAGTTGGTTGGCGAGGTCAGGTCTCCCTGCACGGGTCAGGCAGTGGGCCAGTATGGGGCATTTCAGAGAGGAGGAGGGAAGGCCTCGTCTCCACGCCGTCAAAATGTGAAAGGCCTGCTGTGAGAGGCTGTGTGGAGCTCGCAGCCGAGCGATCTGGACCGAAGAGCGACGGAGACGGAGAGACAGAACCAAAAGGGCCGCATCATCCTCGGTGAGCTCCTCACACAGCCATGATAACAGCTCATCTGACAGAGGCTCTGGAAGAACACACACACTCTTAGCCAGTAATGCATTACAAGTTACTTGAGTGACATAATAATATTACTTTTCTAAGTAATGAGTATTGCATAACTTTTAGAAAATTAAGTAATAATGTTTGAGATACTCTTTAAAAAAAAAATGTAATGCGAGCTTTAAAAAAATAAATTGCTGAATTAATGTAGTCATGTTGAATCGTAGAAACAGACAGTAATGAAGATGGCAGGCCAGACCATTAAATGTCTGCATCGATGAGAAGGAAAAGGGGATTGTCTCAATGGACAGTGATATTAAGCAAAAGAAAAAAAAGTAGCAAACACATTGCTTTAAACTTTTATTAACTGATTATATACGGCATATACTGTATAGCTTTGGGGTCAGGAAGTTTTCAGAAGAAGAACATTATCATACGTTATTATTTTGGTAGGTGTAGGTTATACAGTGCATTGTTAATTGCAGAGGTCTTCTATTAAAAAAAAGAAGAAGGAAAAAAAAACTCTGCCTGAAAGAGACGGAAGTTCTGAAAGAGATCAAGCCTCAGCCAGGTAAGATAAAGCCATTCAAACGTTATGTAATACATTACTTACCATAAAAAGTAACTAAGTAATGCAACTAGTTTCTTTTTTTGGGATTAGCTCAATATTGTAATCCATTATTTTCAAAAGTAACTTTCCCCAACTCTGCTTCTTAGCATAAACACTCAAAAATGATGTTTGCTGTTTGTTCAAACGACTTAAAATGAGCTGAAACAACACAAATATTAAGTTTTTTTAATCCACTTATATTTGTAAAAACTAATTTAATAAAACTAACTTAATTCCTTCATGTTGTCCTAACACAAATTGATTGTGTAGAGCCCAGCATTTTCATCAAAAGCATCAAGGATTTGTTAATTTTTATAGCAAATTAAAAAAAAAAAAAATCCTAATGAATGGACACACCACCGTGTCATCAAAGAAAGCTTTTTGAGGCTTTTTGTGGTATATTTTTAAAGAGAATGACTTATAAGGCTTGTGGCAGTATCAGATGTTGCTGCAATTAATTGAAACGTGAAACTGAAATCACGCTATGTGGTATTATCACAATATTGACCTGAGCTGGAAAATAAATTACTTTAACAGGTACAATAACCAAAAATACTTGTATATTTTTCTTTCGTACCGTATACACAAATAAAGTACAACAGATAACACCTTTACAGTAAAGTCTCATTAGTAAAATGTTAGGTAATGGATTAAAATCAAGTGAGAAAAATCCAGATTTACTACAGTAACTGTTAATGTTAGTAAAAAAACTGAATATTATTAGTTATTAAATCCATTCAATAAAATAATAAATGACTTGTACACAGACTACAATTAAGATTTTAACATGTTGTACGAATGTTATTACAATTTGAACAGTGAATGAATAAAAGGTTTTGCAGTTTTCATTGTAACTTTAGTTAAATTATTTATGTTGTGTACACCCTTGAAAATACAATCTTAATATATTCTTAGGGACACTAAAAGTTTAACTAATAAATAGTTATCCATGGTATTTTGAAGTGTCTAAGATATCAAAATTATGCTTATTATCATAATATATTAAATTACTGAGTATTGACATATATCTCAAGACCCTTATTTCTTGGCCACAATCATTTTAAAGCCTTGCGAAGCTGTTTTTTTTTAAAGCACTAAGCACATACAAGTCATCACAAAAAGAAAGAAAAAATCTCTTTGAGGAAAAAGTTTTTCCTTAAAATTTCCTTAATTTGTTTTGACTTGAAAAATAGAAATTTACTTTTTTAATGAGTTCTAAAGTAGCTTCACAAAAGGTGCAAATGTTTACAATAAATGCATCACATTTATAAAGGTTATCTTATATACTTTGCTATCTCTACAGATGGACAATACAAACAAAAATATTTACACCTCACTAAATAAAACTGTGGCAAAGCTTCCCTCCACTCCTTTATTTACTGTAGATTTGATCATTCTCCACTTCTTTCCTTTCACTCATTGTCCTCTCCAGCTAACTAACCAAGGAAAATCATATCCAAATTGTGTCACTGCAATTAACATAACCATTATTATTGGAAATGTCCCAGTGTGACTGCCTAGTGCAATGGTCTAATTCATAACCAAATCAAAGCAATCCTTCACCCAATACAGAAGGTGTGCCCGCATCTGGTCGACCCTACATTCAAAATCATTCCTATTGCACTCTATACAAATTCCCATTGTCATTTCAAACACCTTTACATAGATTTATGACTTGGTCTGGGTATTTAAGGAAATGTGTCAAGAGGCACAGTGCCATTCTGTATTCAGAGCAGCCTATAGTGTGGAGTTATTCAGCTCCATATGTATATCTGGACTCTTTGGCTATTCATGTCTAACTCTTAGATTCATTTGAGTTGTAGATGTAGTGCATTTATCTTTTCTGAATCATTTATTATAATTGGCATACCCTGTTGGAAAAAATGTATGGCAAAAACTCTATTTGAAACTCGTGTAATAATGATTTGACTATAAAACATATTTTGATAGAATGTATATTTTATATTTTAATACCAGGAAATTTTTTGAGGAAAATGTTTTAATAATTAGGAAAATGGAATTTTAGAATATCATCGATCAAATTGGCAGATCTAATATGACTTTGTGTCAGTGTTATTTGTGTACAATGCCTGATTATTAACCAAAATTCTGAATTTTGATGTATTTTAGAACGTTAAAACATGAATGTATATCAAGTGAATATCATCAATTTGTGAGGAGAAGTTTTCTAAAGCATCAAAAAATATAACCTGAAAACGAATGGGTGTCTATGGACCCCTGCTGGATATATGTGGACATTGTCCTTTCTTTTTTTAACAATAATTTTTTTTTCTCTAACCTCAGATGCTATTATTTTATTTCTAAAATATAAAGCAATGTCCAGAAACCTAGGTCAGAACTTGAGTGACCTTTATAATAAAAAAAAAGATAATCCAAATGATGGAGTAGTTGCGTGTTTGTGCATTAAATGGATTACAAAGTATAAAATATCCACACAGACACTGCATGCAAAGTTGAGGTGACTAAAAATGATACAAAGTGTATCATATATGAATGAATATTTCTCTAAGTAATTGGTCTTTAAATGTTTGGTCAGGGGGACCTAAAGGAACCTAACTCTGATTCTTTTTCTTTCTGGGCTGCTCTAGGGTTAAGAAAGTTGTGATTGCAAATTATATATTGAATACTTAATACAAGTGTTGCCATGAAAATAGCCAATGCTGCGAACATGGCATTTAAACAAATAAATGAATAATATGTTTACAAAAAAATTCTGATCGTTTGATTTATCCTGTTTTAAAAATTATTGATTGTATAGAGTTTGTTGTATCATTGTTACTACATTTTTACTGCTTCATCTTGGGTAACAAAGTTAAGTCAAGTTGAGAATTGTTTACAACACCTGTATCTTAAGAGTCTGGTGAACATTTATATTAGTTTAAGTGTATTTAGGTGGATATCGATGATTGCAGTCATGACCCCTAATATTGCCTTTAGTTCAAATGTGTAAATCCAAGAGGACTATTCAAAACTACTTCAGAATGAGCAACCATAGGAGCAGCCATTGGACTTAAAATCAAGACTGATGAGTATGTAACCCTGAGGTACACCAACGAGATCAGTAATAAATAAGCAATAAAGAGGAAATGATCGATAATAAATTTAAACCAAAACTTTAAGTCATAATAAAATGTAGTATGCCAATATAGTAAATGAATTCAGGTTAAACATATTTTGTGCTCTGAAAAGGCTGAACATGCAATAAACCTTCACCTACCAGTGGACACAGACACCATCATTGGATCAAACTATTTGACCAAATCACCCCAATTTTATCTTCCTTACACTGGCTGTCTGTTAAGTTTCGTATTGATTTTAAAATATTGTTTCTTACCTATAAAGCTTTAAATAATCTAGCTCCTGTTTACCTAACCAACCTTCTGTCTCGCTACAATCCAACCCACTCTTTAAGATGTCAAAACTCAGGGCTTCTGGTAGTACCTAGAATAGCAAAGTCTACTAAAGGAGGTCGACACTTCTCATTTATGGCTCCTAAACTATGGAATAGCCTTCCTGATAATGCCCGAGGCTCAGACACACTCTTGCAGATCAAAACTAGATTAAAGCACACCTCTCTTGTCTTAATGCACCAGACATTTTGTTAGAAATACTTATATGCTTTACATGTTTTTGCATTACATTTTTGCATCTCTTGTTCAAATACACTATGAACAGCAGCTACACTAATTTATTTATTTATTTATTTATTTATTTTCTACTTGGGGATACTCATCCCGAGATCTCTAGAGCAGTGGTTCTTAAACTGTGGTACGTGTACCACAAGTCGTACGCGGGCTTCCTTCTAGTGGTACGTGGAGAAATACTGAATAATGAAAGAAGAAAAAAATACACTTTTAAACCTCTGACACGAATGATTACACTGATTTGATTAGCACTGGCTGTATTCTGAAGCATACAATCACACTGATGTGCTTAGAATGTTTACTTTAGAAATTGTGCAACACCAGTGATGTGATCCAAGCCTGAGCACCTGCTGGTGACCTACTCACACCTGCAGTTTCTCACCGATGGACGTCCAGTGTTCGCCAGCCTCCGGCTCCTAGACTGCAGCACTGCACAGGAAGTTTGGTCAGAGGAGAAATGGTCATGACCAACTGAGCCTGGTTTCTCGCAAGGTTTTTTTCATTCTCTTTCATCAATTAGTGAAGTTTTGTTTTTCGCCACTGGCTTGATTGGTTTGGGACTTGTGGAGCTGCGCATGGATTTGCTCTTCAGTGTTTGGACTTTCAGCAGTAAAAATTAAACCACACTGAACTAAACTGAAATTTTGAAAACTGGATTGACAGTTTGAATTTACTATAACTTCTATGTTAAGTTGCTTTTTGATCTACACTGTACAATCTACACTGTAAAAGCGCTATAGAAATAAAGATTAATTGAACTGAATCAAACTGAATAGACAGAGTTGACTAAATGATCAGGAATTTTACATTTTTGACCTAATACAGCCATTCAGAAAGATAATTTGAAGAATGATTTAGGAAAAATATTTCACATACCTGTTTGGCTTGGCTGCATTAACTTGATCCTCACAGGCTGAAAGACTGTTCTAGCTCCCTATAACAAGCAAAAAAACAACTTGACTCCAAAACAACTGAAAAAAAAAAACATGTCTAACCAACTAGGGGTTTTGTTTTGTTTTCCAGTACAAATATATGAACATCAAGATACTTGAAAAACAAGTTTACACACTTTGCCATGTTGAAGCCAGAGAAACGTAAACAAAAAAAAAAATGTTTTCCAGTATGCCATAAAGGCCTTATTGGTGTAGGGCTGCAAAGATGGTTGTCCTTCTGGAAGCTTCACCTCTCTCAACAGAGAAATGCTGGAACTCTTTCAGAGTGACCATTGAGTTCTTGGTCTGCTCTCTATTAAGACTCCTGGTGATTCCAAACATCTTCCATTTATAGATGATGCAGGCTATCGTGCTTACTGGCTCACTTTTCTGCAGCTCTTGTTTTGTGCTTTAACAAAGTGTGTGCCTTTTGGCTGGTGGACTCCAATCAATTTAACTTGTTGTTGATACATGTATATATGTCAAACAAACCTCTTTCACATTATCTTGATGGAGCATTGTTGGTAGGATTTTGAGAAAAAATATTTAAATTCATTTTTGTAGAATGCTATAACTTAAATATGGAATGCACTGTATTTACACGTGAGTTTGATTATGAGACTTTTGATTACTATGAGACTTTCTGATAAATTTCCTAGTAGATTAGCGGTTTCTGAAATACTTAGACCAGCCCAACCATGCCACATTCAAAGTCACTTAAGTCACCTTTCTTCCCCATTCTGATGCTCGGTTTGAACTGCAGCAGATCATCTTGATCATGTCTACATGCCTAAATAAATTGAGTTGCTGCCATGTGATTGGCTTATTAGAAATTTGCGCTAACAAACAGCAGGACAGGTATACCTTATAAAGTGGCCGGTGACACTTGTGTACAACCACGTTCATATATGCTTATCTGTTACACCGCTGTTTTTGATTGATATAAAAATTGGCATCATGTTATGATACTTTAGTGTATGCTTCAATCAGACATTTTGGTGCTGTCAGCTTTGTTGTTAAATCTTCACATATTGTGGCTAGTTGCCCTGTAAAAAGTGAGAAAGTACATTCATGCAGTTGTTGTCTCACAATAAAGCCCTCCAGTGCTTTACTCCTTACATTAAAAAAAAAAAAACTAAATATGTTGTCATTTTGCTTTTCGAGTAGATGTTTAAGTCTTGCGTTTACCTTTGGCAGAGTGATTGGCAGCCGGCAGACGGGTTCTTCTAGCAGACAGTCCTTCACGTATGCTCTGTCATCACTCCAGACCAGATGATCTTTGCTGACCTTGAAGAAACTGGCTACACCTTTGTAGTGCAGAGAGCTGTGGTTGCCGAAGGTGTCCACTTCTTTTAATGTCAAATACAACCGGTTCCTCCTTTGGTTGTGGAATGTGATTATGAGTGAATCTGTCTGTTCTTTGCTTATTGACTCTTTCACAAACATAAACACAAATACACACACATGGTGAATAATCTGGCATTCAAACACAGAACAATGAATGTTTCTATTGAGCAAGGCATTAGGTAAACGTTAAATTGATCAAATATAACGGTAAAGAGTTTATAATGTCGGAAAATGTGGACTTATATTTTTTCCTTTTGAAAAATGCTAAAAAAAACTTTGTTTTAGTAAATATGTCAGGCAACACAACTATAGTAAAATATTGTGTTAAAATGTTGTTTAAATCAGATTTAAAAAAAAACTAAACTAATGGATCCTCTTCACAGGACTGCAATGACATGTTTAATGGTCATCATAAGTTTTCAATATTTTGATTTTTGAAAAAAACATGAACATTATAAGTATTGTAGGGATTATATCATCATCGCATTGAATTACAAAAAAATAAAAATAAAAATCACTTGTTTTTAATGCAGAGTGTATGGGGACAGGACAGTAAATTTGACGTTGTTCTCCCTTCTGGCTGCCGTTATCAGTCTCACACAATTTTTGTCCTTTTTCTGAAAGTCTTGATAACACCATTGTGGAGTTTTTCTTTTATTATTTAAGCAAATAGGACTAAAAAACAAAAAACTGTTGCACTCTACCATTAACTGTGCTTTAGGTTAACCACTTATGACGACGTCGCTTCTGAGAAACCCAGAAATGTGAAAAAGGGTCCATTCTGTTCTTTTGAAAATGCTGGTAAAATGGTCTCATGTTTTTAATCAGTGTATTAGGCAACTCGACTATGGTCAAATATTGTGTTAAAAATGTGATTTAAAAAACTATCCCAATGTTGCATTTGTCCATATTTGAGTTAACACTGAGTTAAAACAAACCCAACATTATTAAAGTGTGGGTCTGAACTAATACAAAACTATTTATGTTAAAGATTAGTTAAAATTGCTGTTGTTGTTTTTTACCAGCACAGGTTATGTTCCCGCTGAGCCTGACCAGCAGCTGTTCTCCCTCCCTCATGGAAAGTTCAGATGAGGATTCTGGAGGACCACAGTAACCCTGATCCTGCAGTTCACACATAGCCCAGCTTGCATCTCTGCTGGACAGGGTCTCCACAACCACACTGCGGGGGTCCAGATGCTTATGATGCAGCACCACTGTCACTGAAAAGCTCTTTACAGCCTCTTCTAGTTCTTCAACTAACAAAGCCAGGCAGGAGGATTTTACAGAGGACTGAAGGCGAAGGACTATTAACCTACGGTTGGAAGAAGTTTTTAAAGGTAGAGCATATTTCTGAAATATTGTAAAGAAACATTTACAATGTACATGCATTGGTTTTGGATACCTTTCATAGCTTTCTGTTAGCTCAAAACAGACCAAGCTGTTCTGTAAGTTCTTTACACTGACTTTATCCAGAACCTTCCAGTGGTTCTCCATCCAGCCTAGCAGAGCCAGCTGCTCTTTACAGCATTTATGAGTTTTTACTGAGGCACCATCAACCCTGTATCAAAACAAAGAAAGAAAAACACTACTTTCTGTACCAAATCATTTTAGTATCAATATTACTCTACAGAGTAATGATTGTTTTGCAACTATTTACTTAAAATGAGCTGAATCAACACAATTCTTGTGGTATTTTGAGACAACTTAATTGTTTTGTGTTTAATACACTTAAGTTTGTAAAAACTATTAAGTTAACCTGATCTATTTGTGTTGGTGCAACATTAAGACATTTTTACAGTGTAGTAAACATTCATTCAGCATATGCAGCATATGTTTTACGCAGTGGATGCCCTTCCAGCAGCAACCTATCACTAGGAAACACCCTTACTTTATTTACACACATTCACTACAGACAATTTAGCTTATTCAATTCACCTGTACCGCATGTCTTTGGACTTGTGGGGGAAACCGGAGCACCCGGAAGAAACCCACGCGAATGCAGAGAGAACATGCAAACTCCACAAAGAAATGCCAACTGACCCAACCGAGGCTTGATCCAGCGACCTTGCTTTGAGACAAGAGCGCTACCCACTGCGCTACTGCATCACCCGTGTTGTAAACATTTCTAGTAAAATTGTTATAGTAATTTTTTCAAATAATGCTAAAGAAAGAGCTAAATAATTGATAAAAGATTGAATTCAATGTGAAATTGTGAACTGTAAAACTACAAATACCAAAAAATTGCTTTGTTCAATGTAAAAAAAAAAAAAACTATGCTAAAAGTTAGGTGAACTCAATATTAGATTGTATTATGCAGCACACAATCCAATGAGCTTGCAAAGTACATTGCTTGCGACTGTGAAACATTAGAACTAGTTAAAATGTGTTTTTTTTTTAATTTGTTAGTGTATAATATTTTGTCATGTTGGAATTTTAAATGAAAATATCTAAATTAATACAATGTACACTCAAATGGGTGTACTCAAAAATGTATGTTTTTAAACTTAAAGAGCATCTATTTTACACCATTTTCAAGATGTAAGAAAAAAATTGTCTCCAAAATGTGTCTGTAAAGTTTCAGCTCAAAACACCCGTCAGATTATTTATTATGCCTTTCTGAACATGCAGATGTTCAACTCTGAGCACACTGTAGCTGTGCTTGTTTGTTGTCTGTCTGTCTCTTTAATGCAAATGAGTGGGTTGTCCCCGCCTACCATTCCCACATGTCAAAGTCGTAGATGTCGCTCTGATGGATGTAGCCTTCACCTGCTGTGTGTCACGTAGATAAACAGTGCATTGACAGACAAGAATGAAGCAGATCTCCCCTACTAAAGTAAGAACTTTCCCAGTGTTTATTTGATGTATTTGTTAAGTCTCTCTGCAATGATGAGTCACACACACACATTCAGCTTTGCAATGTTTTTGCATGGCATATGTGGCCAGGATATACATTAATATACACTGCTATATGGATAATAGCTTTGTTAATGTACAAATTAAATCTGGTTTAACACCCACAAACTGGGATTGAAGTCTTCTTTTAGTATCATAAAGACACCATGCAGCTGTGATGATGAATTGCATGGCAATTTTACTGTCTTTACTTTATTACAAACATGTTTTTAAAAAATTGGAAACTTGTAACACTCATTCCCGAAGTGCAGCTGATCAGAGAGAGCTGAACAGATCTTTTACTCCTACGTCATGTTGTGGTGGGCCTCAGAATTGCAGGGATTTGGATCCTATTGTAACGTCAGGAAATAAAAAATATATTATATCACTATATATATATATATATATATATATATATATATATATATATATATATATATATATATATATATACACACACACACACACACTTTTTTAATACAAGATTATTTCTAAAAATTACTACAAATGGAGTTGTTTTTGCATCTAAACTATTAAAATAATTAAAGGCAATCAGTTTCTTAATAGTTTCACTCAACTTGTTGGGTTTTACAGTGTGAAGATGCATTTTCCTCTAAAAAATAGCCAAATAATGTTTGTTTTGAAGTATTTTACCAGCATGTTTTACAATGTGAACTGGTTCATTCATTCACTGGTTGTGTATATTTGGAATAGTTACGATAAAAAAATAAGTATAAAAGGACATATTATATAAAATAAAACATTGTAAGAATCTATAAGTAGTGGTAGCTATGTCATTTCCAGTAAATTGTATGTTACCTCATCAGCTTTGGAGAGAAAGCGTTTGATGCGAGAGCAGGTCTGTCAGCATCTTCTGCAGCTTTCCTCTTGTCGCAGATTGGAGGACAGGGCAAGCTGATTGTCAGTGGTCGTCTGAGTTTAAGGCTTGATGGATGGCTGAGGTAAAGCAGGGGGGTTGAGGTAAGAGCTTCACGATAAGAATCATTTTTGGATTTTAGAGATGATAAAATAAAGGCATCCACTGGCTGTACCTGAGGAGGCAGAAGAAAGCCTAATGTTAAGTGAGGCAGCCATGGCATTAAAAAAAGGCAAAACTAATTCCCCTGTGGTTCCCTTAAGACTTTCCTTTGAGTATTTTAAATTCATAATAATGTCTGTGGTGAATGTAACTTGGATGTTTTTGTATAACGTAAATATAATAACCAAAATGTGCTAAATTTATAAGTGTAATTTTTTTATTAAGATTTTTGAGCCACATGAAAGTAAACATAAATACACCTTCCATTGATGTATTGTTTGGACATGACAATATTTGGCTCGGAAACAAATGTTTGAAAATCTGGAATCAGAGGGTTAAAAAGAAAATACAAAGAAAATCAACTTTATGTAAAACAAAATGAAGTTATTGACTGTATATGAAGTGCTTACCAATGCACATTACTAATCAAAAATTGAGTTTATAAAAACAAATAAAAAACAAAAACAAATAAGATATAATATTATCAGATGTGGGGCGAGGCAGTGGCAGAGTAGGTAGTGCTGTCGCCTCACAGCAAGAAGGTTGCTAAGTCGCTGGTTCGAACCTCGGCTCAGTTGGCGTTTCTGTGTGGAGTTTGCATGTTCTCCCTGCCTTCGCGTGGGTTTCCTCCGGGTGCTCCGGTTTCCCCCACAGTCCAAAGACATGCGGTTCTGGTGAATTGGGTAGGCTAAATTGTCCGCAGTGTATGAGTGTGTGTGTGAATGTGTGGATGTTTCCCATAGATGGGTTGCGGCTGGATGGGCATCCGCTTCGTAAAAACTTGCTGGATAAGTTGGCGGTTCATTCCACTGTGGCGACCCCGAATTAATAAAGGGACTAAGCCGACAAGAAATGAATGAATTAACAGATGTACTGTGAAAATTTCCTTGCTCTGCTAAACATCATTCGGGAAATATTGAAAAAAATTTAAATAATTCAAAGGGGGGCTAATATTTCTTTAACTGTTTATATATGTATGTGTATATATATATATATATATATATATATATATATATATATATATATATATATATGTATGTATGTATGTATGTATGTATGTATGTATGTATGTATGTATATATATATATATATATATATATGTATATATATATATATATATATATATATATATTGAGCTTATGAACGATCAGTCAGAGCAGAGTTGTTTAGAATTATTCTATATTTGGTTTATTGACCACTCCAAGAAACAAAAATGGTCACTGTGATGGTTTCTTTTTTACAAACAACACTTTAGTTTGTGATGCAGTGGCACTGTAGGTAGTGCTGTCGCCTCACAGCAAAAAGGTCGCTGGTTCGAGCCTTGGCTCAGTTGGCGTTTCTGTGTAGAGTTTGCATGTTCTCCCTGCGTTCGCATGGGTTTCCTCCGGGTGCTCTGGTTTCCCCCCACAGTCCAAAGACATGCGGTACAGGTGAATTGGGTAGGCCATATTGTCCATAGTGTATGAGTGTGTGTGTGTGTTTCCCAGAGATGGGTTGCGGCTGGAATGGCATCCGCTGGATAAAAACGTGCTGGATAAGTTGGCGGTTTATTGGTGACCCCGGATTAATAAAGGGACAAAGCGGACAAGAAAATGAATGAACACTTTAGTTTGTTAAGTGTGGAAACAGCTGTGTAGATGAAATAAGACACTTTAATTCTCCAAACTTTAAACATTTTCATGTGTTCAGTGTTCTATTAATCAACAGTATTTATTTTTGTTTTTCTGTTCCCTGAAATCAATTTGAGGCAGATATAACCCTTAATGGACCTTGCTTCACAACCATTTATTAACTAGGCAATCATATGTAATTGTGTTTATGTTGGAGGTGGAGGAAAGGTGGCTTTATAAGCAGCTTCATTGTAATGCAACAGAGCCTGCAATTCTTTTCAGAGCCAACATTTAAATTAAACAAATATTTTTAGAGATGTGCTGCAAGCAGACAGAAATCTCACTCTGCTGCACAAAACAAATATCATTTTATTTTATTTTTTTATCTACATTTTGTTTATGTAAGAGCTGACAAGGCCATTTCTAAACATAACATATGTCTTACAGTATTGTCTTCATAAAGTACTGTAGCTTTGTGAAACAGCTGACATATGCGTCTTGTTATTGCAAATGGATAGTTCATTGATTCATTCATTCATTTTCTTTTTGGTTTAGTCCCTTTATTAATCAGGGATCGCCACAGTGGAATGAACCACCAACTTATCCGGCACATGTTTCACGCAGTGGATGACCTTCCAGCTGCAATCCAGTACTGGGAAACACCCATACACTCTTGCATTCACACGCATACACTACGGCCAATTTGGCTTATTCAGTTCACCTATTGACCTTATTCTTTAATGTAGAAGTGTGCCCGTTTTCGCGATTGTTTTAAAACTTCAGATTCAGTTACCAATGGGAGAAATGACTAGGAATAATAAACTGCAAATAACAGTCAAACTACTCACTCTACAAACAAGTGTGTCCATGACTACACAGACAAAGTAGAATAATATAATAAGAAGATGTTTTTAACGTCTAAAAATAAATGAAAGTGAAGTCTCGAGCCAAAAAGATTCAAGTGGCTGTGCCCACTTGTACATGAAGAATAAGGTGAATAGCGCATGTCTTTGGACTGTGGGGGGAAACTGGAGCACCAAAAACCCACACCAACACTGGGAGAACATGCAAACTCCACACAGAAATGCCAACTGGCCCAGCTGGAGCTCAAACCAGTGACAACTTGTGAAACAACTGTAAAAATACAGTGTCACAAAAATGATGCTAAATTGGTGTGTGTAAGCTGTCTCCTATCTAGACTTTACCACATACTTGTGCTTTTCGCTTCAAGTTCGTGTCCTACTTTGCTGTCATTTAACCAATAGCATCTCTGCAACAGAGAGATATCATGCCTCACACGTTGTTGTTTCTGTGTGAAGTCAAGAAAGAGGTCTATTTCTGTGCCACCACATAACTATAGATGTGTTAAAAATATTGAGAACATATATATATATATGTGTGTGTGTGTGTATATATGTGTGTATATATGTATATATATATATGTGTGTATATATGTGTATGTATATATATATATGTGTGTGTGTGTATATATATATATATATATATATATATATATATATATATATATATGTGTGTGTGTGTGTGTATGTATGTATGTATGTATGTATGTATATACAGTATATACATATATATATATATATATATATATATATATATATATGTGTGTGTGTTTGTGTGTGTTTATATATATATATATATATATATATAAAACATCCGATTCCGATCAAGTCTTAAACAGTGTGATCGGGCCCGATTTGCGATCAAGTGATCGGATCTGGACACCCTTACATTTAAACCAAACTGTTTTAAAACCAAAGTTGGAGTTTTTGACAACCATGTTTTTTTCATAAGCCTACTAGTCTGGTGTAAGATTTTTGAATCTTTTTGCTTGTAACTTCATAATGGTCTTAAAATGCTTGAATCCTGAAAATTGCTGCCTGCAGCTATATTTATAAATTGGAGTTCTGATGCATTTACAGGAGTTAACTTACATTAAACATAAGGTGAGTAGTACTGGTTTATTCAGCCTGATTGAAAAGAAATTGTAAATGTACCATGACTTGAGCAACAACTGGAGTGATGAAGGATCCAGGCAAGTAGTCAAGGCATATCCTGGAGTCCACACTCAGTTTGAGAGACAGTCCTGCCTTAGACACTGTGAAACTCTCTGTCCTCAAACGGGATAGAACTGCAAACACGCCGAGAGTATACACCCGCACTACCGCAAATGAACCCTGAGAAGAAAAAAAAAAAAAGACAGGAAATACACACCAACATTTATTCAATAATTTTCTTTTTGGCTTAGTCTATTTATTAATCTGGGGTCACCACAGTAGAATGAACCACTACCTTAAAATCAATCCAAATACAAAAAAAAATACACATATAAAGTAATCTTTTTAAGGACATAGTTCTCACTCAAAAGTAAAGATTTTGTCATCCTCATGTTGTTTCAGGTGGCAGTAGCAATTCACAAAAAAAAACAAAAAATTTTGCAAAAAACAAAAATAATAATAATATATAACAAAATAATTAAGACCACTTTCTATACCCCCAGTTATTGGTGTTAACCTGGGATTTGCTATTTTAAAATGTCAGTTTAAGTCTCAGACCAGAATTGAAATTAAGATATTTTGTATAAACTCTGAGGCCGTACTCACACTATGTACAGTTGCCTTGAACCGGGCCAAAGCACGCTTGTCCCCTCTCCCGTCTCCCCTGATGGCCCACACTTAACGCTTGTCCCCTCTCCCGTCTCCCCTGACGGCCCACACTTACACTACAATCGCGCGCTTATCGATGTTGCGCTGTTTAGTAAGCACTCTCATAATAATAAAGTAATCATAAAGTCCTCGTGCTGCAGGAATGAGGAGGTCTGCTAAAGGTGCGGAGCTGTCGTGCAGTGAGGTGTCTGCGTCTTGAATAAACTACGGCAGTTTGCGTTCACTGAACAGTAAGAATGATTAATAAATCCATATGAAACAGTCCCTTAAAGTCACGTCTCGCTTTCAGTTTCGGGCTTTGGCACGTTTTACACTCGCACTACAAGTGTACCGCGCCAAAGCCCGAGTGAACTGCGCTCTTCCAACCAGGCCAGGGCCGGCCAAGTGAACCATGCCTCAGCCCGATTCAGCGCACTCGCACTTCTCAAACGATCCTGGAAACGGGCCTGGGCATTGTTCGGATAGCATAGTGTGAGTAGGCCCTGAGAGCTTCCTGTTTATTCACAGACAGCAGCAGACTCAAATCATTCAAAGTCCAGAACAATTTCAAAAAACATCTTCAAAACAGACAATTATGACTTCAGTAGGTCAATCTGAATAAGATCAAGATACAAAAATACTTTTGTCCTCACATAGAAGTAAAGCAAAAATAACGATTTAACAATTTCTTCTCCTCATCGTTGGTGCACATTCACCCTCTTCCCTCCTCCAAAGTCTCGCTCCTTCCTTTCATAGCCAAATGAAGCTCATTACTCTCATCAGTCACTAAGACCCTTTTGATTGCCAAAGCAGGTTCTAAATCATCAGTTCTGCTTTTACTGGATTTCTCTGCTGCTTTGAATACAGCGAATCATCAGGTTCTCCTCTCCTCAATTGGAATTGGCAGTGATATACAAAGCACATTAGCTGGTCAGAGGGGTACATCAGGAATTAGTTATTGGTGCCCTTCTATTCTCAATGTGCACCACATTGCTACAACATATCATCCAATAATAAGGTTTCTCTTATTACTGTTATGACAATGACATATTTAAAAATATAGCTATATTTCTTTTCAGCCAGGTGATCCATTGGCAGCTGTCTGGAGGACATCTCAACATGGATAAAAGACCATCTCCTGCAGATTAATCTGGCAAAAACAGAACTTCTTGTCTCAAAATATCAAAAATCTATCCCTTGGCACATATTTCCAATGAGCCTACTGTAGATTGCTTATGCATGTGTGACACAAGTTGAGGGTGGGAAAATAATAGTAGAGTTGTAGTTTAATCCTTTAAACATTTCATAACACACATAAAAGCAAAATAAGTGTATTATGGAAAATTAAAAGAGCTTTATTACAGACCCGCTGTCCTTCAAAGAACCCTTCAGTGGATAAAGGTGTGACATAGCTGACTCTTTGTCCTGGATCCACCACTTTCACTATGATCTCTCTGTAGTTCCCACGGTAATTGGCCTGGAATGGCACTGCTACGGTAAGTGGGAAGGGACATTTAACATGGCTGTAGGTTTGTATGCGGAGGACGGCACTAAGCAGCTCTTCTGATCCAGACACCATCAGAGAACTGAGACCGTCCACCACCTCACAGCTCATGACACTCACTACGTCTGCCGAGGCCATCATATAGCAGAGTTTAGGAGACTTGGAGGATCCGCCTCTGTCTGCAAGTCTGAAAAATTTCCAAACACAGTTGTTTAAGGTAATAATAGGATTAGTTCTTTATTAGTTGTATGCAAAAATAAATTAATAGCTTATTTAAAAACAAGTATGAAATCCTGTATTAGACACATGAATCAAATCAGCAGTATACTTCTTGTTTAATTTCAGTAAACCCCGAATATTGCTTAAAATAACAGAAAACAATTATGCTCAACCACTGTTTAAACAGCCCCTATTATGGATTTTTGAAAATGAGCTTCCATGTAGAGTGTAACACAGCACTAAGTGAATGAAAACATCCAGCTCAGGGTTAAATCTGAAAATGCGCCATGTTTAAAACTATTGATACTTTAAAATAAAAGATTCGACTCAGAGTTGTTTAAATGATTCATCGTTTGTCTGGATCTTTTGCCTGTTCATATTAATTCGTAACTCAGCAATTCGCAACTTTTTGCTTTAGCGGCTAATTCGTATGAATTCGTACGCAGTGGTGTAGCGGACAGGCCAATAATTATAAATTCGGCAATCGCAATAATCAAACTCTTGGGAACAACTGTGGTCAGAACCAAAGTTCACAGGTCTGTGTTCTCTGAACACCTCTCATTCTGATTGCTTGCCGCCGAACCGCGACATAGCTCATACTATAAAGTTAACTTGATTTCAACTCTCCTCGACGCTCACACGTTCACGCTCACGCTCCTCGATGTTTCACGTTGCCGGTTCTCATTGACTTCTGGCTGCTTTGATGCTCTCGCCGCTTTCGGTTTGTGATCACTCCTCAGTTTGTGAAGGCTTTCCCACGTTGTCGCTCAACCCCGCCTCCCTTCCCCGCTCCTCAATTTGTGATAGCTACCCCGTGTTGTCTCTTACCCCCCCCCCCCTCCCCCACCTTCCTTTCATCAGGGGGCCCCGTCAGTGATCCCTGCAGGGGGGCCTCCGCATTTTGCGCTACGCCACTGTTCGTACGATCGAATTTGTACAATTAAGTACGATTTGCTTATTACCCAATGACGGTTGGGGTTAGGGGTGGGGTTGGGTGCCATGCCTCCTTTTTAAAATCGTACATTTTTGTACGACTAAACTCATAGAAATTAGCCACTAAACTGACAAAACTTAAAATACTTACGTTTCCTCGTAAGATCAGGCTGGTGGGACTGATCATGACTGAAGATTAGTGAACGTTCTGGTGATTAGTCCAATATTCTACCCTGTAACGGGGCATTTGTCGGCCGTTTGTAAAAGCAAGTATCAGAAAAAACTATTGATGTATGGCACTTTGTCAGACCTTAACAGGAACTTTATCATTACACAGTTCATGGATCAGTTTTCTTCCTCCAGTTCGCAAGTGTAAGTGCGATTAAAATGGTTGCCTCCTTGTTTTTCTCTAGCTTGAAAAATATGTATTTAATTGTGTTTTGTGACTTGTAATCACTCCACATGGCTTGTACTGTATCTGATTAACTCTTAATATTCTCATATTGCATCTAAAGCCGCGTTGAAATCGCGAAGCATGCTGATTACTTTACGGATTTAAATGTGTTTGTGAGTTTGCAATCCACTGCTGTTTGTCGCTGCTACGACCACCATCAGCTTTTACTACACATATGCAGCGGTCAATTTTGAAAATAGTTCAGCTTTTGCCACTGTGTGGATTAATACTGAAAATGTGTCACTGTTTTTACTTATGGTGAAGAATGGAGTAATATGCTGCTGTTAATCTGCATTGATTTAAAGCACTCCTGCTTTGGGCTCACATATACACCCTGCAGTCTGACTACTTCAACAATGTCATTGGAGTCATTAGACCAATCAGCACAGATTAGCATCGAGCTAAGGTAAGTTTGAGAACAAATGAATCGCTGAACAAATCAGATCAAATAAATGCATATTATAAGACAATGAAAGTGTTGCATGCATATCAGCCTGTTGTTGCAGACCCCGAAACCAAAATATAACCTTTTTAATGCATAATAGGGGCTCTTCAAAGGTCAAGGTGACTGCAATATAGAATTTAAAAATCTGCAAACTACTATTATGCAAAGGGATTTTCTTAATGTTTCATTTATTTAGAGAAACAAATATGCTTAAATGAGGGTAATATCTGTTTGTTTTTTGTTTGTCTGTTTGTTGTGATTGTATTTTTGTTCATATACCTAAAACTCTTTTTAAAATTGTGCTAACTAACTAACAAAAAAACTAACTACACTTTCAATTCATTTTTAAAACCTGATATGGGGCAAAAACAGTGTGATTTATTGACTTATCTACGTAAAAGTATTTTAAATGTCCATTTATTTATTAAATTCGTCATTAATTTTATTGTTTATTATGATTTATGTTTAAAACTATATTGAATGTAAAAGCCAGTTATGCATAATTCATTTGTGATAGTAATTTAGTTAAAAAGGTTAAAACATGATAAAAATTGATATTTAAATATAATAAGAATTCATTGTGATTGTATTATCTAAAATGCATAATTTAATAATTGATACAATTTAAAAACATTTACTTTGGTATTTTGGCTTCCGACAGCAATATGTCATGAGGTCATTAGTTCATACGTTTAAGTCAGATTGCAGTTATGGATGTTGGAAGCATTGTAACTTTGTATTTTTGTTTGCATTTCTTCAGTAAAAAGAAGATTCGGTCTTGCGTTTTTGCAAATACTGGTTGTTGGAATAAAAGCTGCAAAAGGTGGTACATAAGGATTTGCACGAAAGGTGTGCCACTACACTGAATGCAAAATCTATTTTTAAATTTAAGTTATCATTGATTAATTTAATGATTGACTGACTAATTAAGCAATTTAATGACTGATTAAATGATTTACTGACTGACAGATAATCAGTCTGTCACCCAAGTTCTTGTTAAGCAAGCATGGAAAAAAGAGGGAGATGGGAGATTAAGTTAGATTCAGTTATTCTAAAAAATTTAGAATCACATTATAATTCAAATGCGAAGTTCTACTTTGTGCATAATGCATTTACTTTGTGTATTTAATATGCAGTTCTACTTTGTTTGCGGTTTTGTCTCAATAACACCGAACACAATATATATATATACATATATATATATATATATATATATATATATATATATATATATATATATATATATATATATTGTATCATGGTTTGGATGACGTGAAGCCAAATTTGAAAATTTGATAATTCCCTCTTATTTTGCCTCATATTTGTTGATTATATGCAATTGAAGGCAAAATGATTAGCCCTACTGTGAAATTGTTATTCATTAATTTTTATTAAATGCTGTTTAACGGAGATAAGATTTTTTAAACACATTTCTGAACATAATAGTTCAATAACCAATAATAATAAAATAAACAAATAAAACTTATTTACTAACTTCTTTTGTCTTCTCCATGATGACAGTACATGCTTATAAAATGTTGTTGTTTTTTTCAAAAAAAAGATTGGCTCGATGGCTCAGTGGTTAGCACTGTTGCCTCACTGAAAGAAGGTTGCTGGTTTGAGCCCCGTCTCTGTCAGTTGGCATTTATGTGCGGAGTTTGCATGTTCTCCCTGTGTTGGCATGGGTTTCCTTGACAGTCCAAAGGCATGCACTATAAGTGCACTATAAGTGAACTGAATAGACTAAATTGGAAATATAGTGTGGCATCATCTGTTTAAAAATGAACCAAAATCCCGTACTTTCTACAAATATACCCTTACGGAAACAAATATAAGGAAAACAGAATCGGTCCAAGAATAGAACCTTGCAGTACTCCACATATATATAGTGTCAATAGAAACTGAATTGGAAATGACGTTAATTTAGTCAGTTGTGAACTGAGGTGAGCCGGTCTAAGGCTTGAAACTCCAGTGCTGAAATGGAGTCCCACTCCGGCCCTGAATGAATTAATAAATAAATGTTTTCTTTTTTTATTATTATTAGCTCACCTGTTTATTTTACCCCAGGCATCGGGTTATACTTTGATTGTATTACTAATTTAATTTCTCTCATTTTTATTTTGCTTTATTTGTTCATAATTGTTGTGAGATGTATATTATTGTACTAGGTTTGTACATATTTTCAAACTAAAAAACATGTTATCAAACTATTTCATAACTAACAAGAGGCAATTCAATCATAACTTGATGTTAACAGCTATCATAACAATATTTATTAATTTGTGGCTCTTTCTGAATTGTCAGAAGCTATAGAAATTAAAGTAAAACAGGAAACACATAAAGACCATTGTTTTTGTTTACACCCCTAAATGGTTTATACATTTTTTTTTTCATTTTGTTTAATGTTATGGCGTTATTTTTGATTAATTGTATATCTGACATTTCTCAGTTCGTTTGTAAAAGATTAAGTTGGATTTGAGTTTTGTTTTTAAAAGGTAAAAAAAAGGTGTAGTCCAAGTGAATGGATTTTAAAGCATTCATATAGCTTGAGTGCCCTCTAGCGAGTCTGGTGGGTATTCATATAAAGACCACAACACTTTTGTTTTATTTTCATTCATTCTATCATTTTCTTTTCGACTTAGTCCCTTTATCAATCTGAAGTCGCCACAGCGGAATGAACTGCCAAACCATCCAGTATACATTTTACTTAGCGGATCCCCTTCCAGCCGCAACCCATAACTAGGTAACACCAATACACACTCATTCACACACATATGGACAACTCAGCCCACCCAATTCACCTATAGCGCATGTCTTTGGACTTGTGGGGGAAACCGGAGCTACCGGCGGAAACCCTCACGAACACGGGGAGAACATGCAAACTCCACACAGATACACCAACTGACCCAGCCGAGGCTCGAACCAGCGACCTTCTTGCTGTGAAGCGCCACCGTGCAGCACTTATTTTATTTTATTTTATTCAAACTACAGAAGAAGAGCAATATAACAGGTCATACTTTGAAAAAAATTCCTTGCTCTGTTAAACATCACTATACAATATTTGAGAGACAGCAGGAAGGCTAATACTGTATGTGTAGACTTACCCAACAGTGACCAATGTCTGCTTTAGCTTTTCACCCTCCTCTCCTTTACTTTTCTCTCTCTCCTCTCCTTCTTTTTCTTCATCCACTTCATCATTCACATTCAGACTCTCCACAATATTTTCATCCGCTGACTCTGTTCTTGTATGTGAGATCTCATCCCTCCTATTTCTGTCATCCTTAACCACAGTACAGCCCTTGACTGGATCTGTAGGATCATCTGTGAGCCTTATAGACTGAATGTTTGCAAGGCTGTGTTCCTCATGAAACTGCTCCAGCGGTTTAGTTGTGCTACTGGATTCTGTTTTCATATTTTTCGCAGTTTTCAGAGGTCCAGAAGTGGTTGGATCATCTGTCTCTTCACTGACTTCGGAAAGAAAAGCAATCCCAGCGTCGAGCCTCCTGCTCATCACACTGAACTGATTTATGATGGCGTGGACGTCTTCCAGAACATGAAGAATCACATCTGTCATGTGGTCTTGGAAGAAGTGTGATCCATAGGAAGCATCTGAAAATATAGAATATGCACAGTAAATATGGACATGATAAAACAAAAAACTATTGAATGGTTTATTTTTTCCTTTACTTTTCATTAAGTGGACTACAGAAGCATAAGGAAAATGTAAGAGGATCATGTTTTCAAGGACCAAAACAATATTTTATGCCCCAATATTTTATCCGTTTAATTTTATTTTGTCCTTAATTGGTTGCTGTTTTGCAAAGATTAAAAGTTTCAATCATGCGTTTTTAATCACTTCTAGAAGAGATATACAGTAAAGTGCTGATCAGCGTAACATTGGTTCATTGCAAGAGCTCTTGTCATTAAAAACAATAGTTAAATTACAATGTAATTGTAATGTTACAAGTTAAAATAAACAGTCAATTCAGATCTTTAATTTTTGCCACTATTTAAACATCTATGTTCTAATCTCATCTATGTTCTACTATGGATCACTTCATTTAAAAAATATATAATAATACACACATACACATACATATACATATAGACCCTTCCTATGAAATAATAATTCCTTCTTAATTTCTTTGTAATACATTTGCTTGGAAATAAAAAGTTTAGTTTAAGTCTTTCAGATACTTTTTAGAAGACCAAATATTTTCGATCAAAAAAAAGAATAATAATATACATTCACTGGCCACTTTATTAGGTACACTTGTCCAACTGCTTGTTATTGCAAATTTCTAGTCAGCTAATCACATGGCAGCAAATCAATGCATTTAGGCATGTAGACATGGTCAGGATAATCTGCTGTAGTTCAAACCGAGCATCAGAATGGGGAAGAAAAGGGATTTAAGTAACTATGAATGTGGCATGGTTGTTGGTGCCAGATGGGCTGGTCTAAGTATTTCAAAAACTGCTGATCTACTGGGATTTTCACACACAACCATCTCTAGGGTTTACAGAGAAGGGTCCGAAAAAGAGAAGTGAGTGGCAGAGCACCATGTCATGAAGTGCAAATCATCTCAAACTGAGATAAACATGACTTACTTGAACATGACAATGAGTTCACTGTACTCAAATGTCCTTCAGTCACCAGATCTCAGTCCAATAGAGCACTTTTGTGATGTGGTGGAATGGGATATTCGCATCATGTCTGTGCAGCCAACAAATCTGCAGCAACTGTGTGATGCTATCATGTCAATATGGAGCAAAATCTCTGAGGAATATTTACAGTAACTCTTTGAATCTATGCCACAAAGGATTAATGCAGTTCAGAAGGCAAAAGGGGATCCAACCCGGTACTAGTAAAATAACAACGTGGCCGGTGGGTGTATGACATGCACTTTAGACCAAGCAGAAAAGAATGTTTAGATTTAGCGCCATCATGTGGTTATATGATAAAATACGTTACAATAATAACTAAAATCTTACCATTTAAAATACATTTTCACTTGAATATGTTTTAAATGTCTTTTTTTTTCAAGATAGCAAATGTGACCCTAGACTACAAGGCCAGTCTTATTTTGCATCAGTATATTTTTGACTATAGCCATGCATATATTGCATGGGTCAAGATTAATGTTTTTTCTTGCCAAAAATGATTATGCTCCATTAAGACATTTTTATACATTTTCAACTATAAACATATGTCAACAAACAACACAAAAACATTTTTTGATTAGTAATGTGCATTGCTAACCTAATTTGGACAGCTTTAAACAGTTTTTCTCATAACAAATTATTATAATGTGTTAATTTGATCAGTTTCTTCAGGAGTTTCTTCAGGAGCACAGTCCAATGGCTTGCACTGTATGAATTAAAAAATAAATAAAAAAATTGCACATAGTAAATCAGTGTGTGCAACGAAAGTGTGTGGGTGTTTCCCAGTGCTGGGTTGCAGCTAGAAGTAATAAGCGGTTTATTCCGCTGTAGATACTGAGTAAGTAATTTGGTCAAGAATTCATTTATTTTTTTATAAATTATAGTCAGTGCTGAAAACTGATTAATATATTTATGACAAAAAACATTTTAAAAAAATTATAGGATGTTACACAATGTGTATAACATTAGATTAGTCAGTACCAAAGCCAAAACTAGACCTTATCAAAGAAAAAATCATTTACAATCACGGTCCATATATATATATATATATATATATATATATATATATATATATATATATATATATATATATATATATATATATATATGTATATATATATGTATGTGTGTGTGTGTGTGTGTGTTAATAATTAAATATTAAATAAATAAATCAAAATATTTTTTAGTGCATTTTTTATTTAATTTTTATTTTTCATGAATGCTTTGAAACTAGTTTGTGAAAGGGAATTAGAGAGGTTGTAAAGAAGGATCTCTCAGCACTCACCCACATCAGCTGTTGTTGGCGGCTCTGCATCTGGAAGTGTGTGTGCCAAATTCAAGCACATCCTCTGCTCAGTGAGTGTGTTTGCTGTAGAGCACAGAATCTCTCTCAGCTCACACACTCTCTTGCATTGAAGCTCGCCGAATGTTTTGAGGACCTGGAAGAGCGTTGTATGAAGTCCAGCTGAGTCTCTACAGCCATTAGAGAGTCTCTTATGTTCTGCTGCTTCTCTTTCTTCCTCTGGTTGTAAAAGTCCTTTCAGTTCTTCCACGGCTTTTTCTAAGAGCCTGAGCAGTTCATGATCTCGCGAGAGGGAATCTACCATATTTTCAAGTCAGTTCACTGAGAGCTTCAAAACAAAAACTGAAGATTTGATTGCTAGTCTTGAATTATCAGATGTTTTTCTCTCTGTCTGGCCTTTTCTCTCACAGTAAGTCTAGTATTTACCACCACAGGCCTGTAAAAAGAGGGTCGTCATGGCAAACTGAAGGCGTTGACTGGACACAAAAGAGTTTCTTTAGAGATGGACGACTGTAAAGAAGAGGAATGTGTGCATCTGTCGTCTTGTGACTTAAATGAGATGCTGATAGAAAAAGCATTTTGCATATGGAAATAATATCTATTGTACAATTACAATTAAATTTACAAACTTGTTACAAATAATCCTTATTAATAATGCTTATTTTGTTTAAATGTATTGATATTTCGTCCCCTTGGAATTATAAGGTTCTATCTGCGTTCTGAATGATTTTGAGATATTGAGCTTCAAAGTTTTAGAATTCCATAGCAAACAGTATGTGTGTAACATTTAGTTTTCAAATAAAAAGTCTTAAAATGTAAACAACTTATAAAACACATCCCATATTGTAAATAAGCTGTCATTTGATAAGAATATGTCAATAACTCAATTTTGACAAAAATGTCAGATAGAACCTTATATATCTAAGGTGATGATTTGTCATTTAAGGTAGCTTTAGTAATACTGTTAAAATTATTTGCTAAACACTCTTTAACTTCCTATCTTGGAAAGAAAAGAAAGACAAAAGTGTGTGGTTAAATGGTATTACTTGCACCCTTCTAAGCAAATGTTGATGTTTTTTTTGTTTTGTTTTGTTTTTTTTTTTTTTTTTGCAATTTTGTGACTCTATGCCAAAATATGAACCAAAATTAAATCTTTTTTTCCAGCACCTTGTTGAATTTATGGTAAAATGAAAGGCAGTTCCCGTAGCCAAATTACGTCAAACCTCAAACTCAAGGGCAGAATTGACCAATAAGCAAGGTAAGCAGCCGTTTAGGGCCCTGGGGAACTAGGGGGCCCCAACCAATGCCAAGAAGCCTATATCAATCATATAGCTCTAATATAAATTTTGTAAAATCTGTCTATAACCATTAAGATTGTGTCACCGACTCGGTCCCAGTCACTCCCCTCGCTGGCCAGCAGAGGCCACCATCTCCAGACTTCTAAGCATTACATCATCCACTTACACTGATCCAGCACACCTGAACTGAATCCCGCTAATGACCCACGTACCCTTTATAAGCCACACTCAAACACTCAGTCTTTGCGAAGTCTTGTTCAGCCCCGGCCAGCATTACTGAGCGGTCTATCCTGCCTGATCTCTAAGACCTTTATTGCTGTTATTGTTGTATGTTCGCACATCTGTGCGTGTTGATTGTTTGAGTGAAAGTGTGATTAATAAATACTGCATAATGGATCCCTCCGTGTCAGTCTCCCAGTTACAGAAGACTTCGCCCAACATGGATCCCGCAGCCATACAGGTTTTGTCTCACGAAGTCACAGCTCAAGCTCAGGTACTGACCACTCATCAACAACAATTATCGCATTTAACCCAGTTGACAGACGAACTTGTGAAATCACTGCAAAACCTGCAAGCTGCTCCCACAGCGCAATTCACCGCCAACTACTCTCTGAGTCAACCCGTTGTGACACAGCCCCCGACTGTCTTCGGAGTTCGATTGGCATTCCCCGACAAGTTTTCAGGTAACCCAGCTAAATGTAAAGGCTTCCTACTGCAGTGCAAACTGTTTATCGCCCAACAGCCTCATCTGTTTAAGGACGAGAATGGAAAGATTGCTTTTGTATGTTCACTGCTCACAGGAAAAGCATTAGACTGGGCTACTGCAGTTTGGCCAGACAGCACCCCGATATTTCCCTCATTTAATGACTTTCTCAAACGTTTTTGCACTGTGTTCGATCATCCCGAGGGTGGTCGTAATGCTGATAAGGAGCTATTGTGTGTTCAACAGGGAGATCGCTCCGCAGCTGAATTCGCGGTGCATTTCCGCACCCTGGCAGCGCAAACAGGCTGGGCTAATGATCCGCTTGCTACACTCTACAGAAAGGCTCTGAGACCGGAATTGCAAAAAGAGATGGCATGTCGTGATGAGGGAAAGACACTGGACCAGCTGATCGAACTATCCATCAGGTTAGACATTCTCCTCCGCACTCGTAACCCATTTTGCTCTATCGCTTCCAGTCCTGCATCTCCTGAACCTCCCACTGAACCGAAATCCCGAAGAACGTGAGCGAAGGAGGACAGATCACTTATGCCTCTATTGCGGTCTTCCAGGTCATACGAAGGTCTTATGTCCCAACAAGCCTCCACCTACGACCCTTCCGGTGAGTGCTACCACAGTGTTCACGACCACTAATGACATCATGAGTGTACATGTCAGTTTAAAATATGAGGAAATTGAGATTCTGACTTTTGGCCATGGTCGATTCAGGAGCCGCTGGCAACTTTATCGACTACACGTTTGCTACAACTCACTCCATTCCTCTAACCTCCTGTGATTCCTCCCTAGCCATCACTGCTATAGACGGGTGCCCCCTGGGGGAAGGACACAAAAAATTCCAAACTCTGCCAATATCTTTTCAAACAGGCTCTCTCCACGTAGAAGAAATTTCCCTCCTTGCGATAGACTCTCCTCGACACACTGTTATCCTCAGGTTACCATGGCTACATCTTCATGACCCTCACGTTTCCTGGAAAACTGGTGAGATTACTAAATGGAGCGATCATTGCTTTACCCAGTGTCTGCATTCTGTTTCCCCAGTCCAGATCAACACGATCGCCAGTACTGAAGACCCTGAACTCTGTCAAATCCCTGAAGCTTATCATGACTTAACCGAAGCTTTTAATAAGCAGAAAGCTACTAAGCTCCCTCCTCATCGTGCGAATGACTGTGCCATAGATCTACTGCCAGGTACCACGCCCCCTCGTGGCCGAATCTTCCCTCTCTCTCAACCTGAGACTGAAGCCATGAACACTTATATATCTGAGGAACTAGAAAAGGGCTTCATCAGACCATCCACATCACCTGCTTCAGCCGGCTTTTTCGTTAAAAAGAAGGATGGCAGTTTACGTCCCTGCATCGATTACAGAGGATTGAACGAAATCACTGTCAAGTATCGTTACCCCTTACCACTAGTTCCAGCAGCCCTTGAACAGCTCAGCTCAGCTCAGTATTTCACCAAATTGGACCTCCGCAGTGCTTACAACCTCATCTGTATCCGACAGGGAGACGAGTGGAAAACCGGGTTCTCTACCATTAACGGCCACTATGAGTAGCTCGTTATGCCCTCCGGCCTAGCTAACAGTCCTTCCGTGTTCCAGGCTTTTGTAAATGAGATATTCAGAGATATGCTCAACCAGTGGGTAATAGTGTACATCGATGACATCTTGATCTACTCCAATACCTTACCCGAGCACATCCAGCACGTCAGAGCGGTGCTAAAACGCCTCATACACAACCAGTTGTACGCCAAAATTTCCAAGTGTGAGTTCCATTAGACCTGCATATCGTTCCTGGGTTACATCATCAGTCCCGGAGGGTGTGGCTATGGACCAGCAGAAGGTCGACTCCGTCACGCAATGGCCACAACCGGAGACCATTCGACAGCTACAACGATTCCTGGGTTTTGCCAACTTCTATCGACGGTTCATTAGGAACTTTAGCTCAGTAGCTGCCCCCCTTACAGCCATGGTCAAGGCAAATAACGCCTGCTTAAAGTGGAACCCAGATGCAACCAGAGCATTCAACCAGCTCAAAACCCGTTTCTCTAGTGCACCCATTCTGTGTCATCCTGATCCCGAGCAACCTTTTGTGGTTGAAATTGACGCATCGAACACTGGCATTGGAGCCATTCTGTCCCAGAGATCCCTGACCACGAACAAACTCCATCCCTGTGCTTTCTACTCCCGCAAACTCAACTCCGCTGAAAGGAATTATGACGTGGGTAACCGCAAACTCCTTGCCATGAAAGCCGCTTTAGAGGAGTGGAGACATTGGCTTGAGGGCGCTAAACATCCGTTCACCATCATTACAGATCACAAAAACCTTGGGTACATTCGATCCTGTAAGCGACTAAACCCTAGACAGGCAAGATGGGCACTATTCTTTACCCGCTTCGACTTCCAAGTCACGTACATTCCCGGCTCAAAGAATGTTAAGGCAGACGCTTTCTCTCGCCTCTCAGATGAGGAGACCCTGGCTGAGGAGGATGAACCCATACTGAAGGATCCCCTAATCATAGCTCCCATTCAATGGCACATCGAGAATGAGATTATACAAGCCTCTGAACAAAACCCCACTCCGCAGGCATGTCCCGAAAACAAGATCTTTGTTCCCCCGCTGCTCCGTGAGAAGCTCATAGCTGAAGTTCATAACCATCCCAGCTCCGGTCACCCAGGCAGCACCGCAACAGCGCAACTAATCCAATCCCGTTACTGGTGGCCGTCTACCAACAAGGACATCATTAACTTCATTAATAAGTGCACCCTCTGTCAAATGGCCAAACATTCCCGTAATCGTCCAGCTGGTCTACTCCAACCTTTAGAGGTACCACGTCGTCCCTGGTCTCATATAGCCATAGATTTTGTCACTGACTTACCTCAATCCCAAGGGAACACCACCATCCTCACTGTTGTGGATCGGTTCTCGAAAGCCTGTCGACTCATTCCCATAGCCAAACTGCCTACAGCCCTGGAGATCGCAGAACTGCTGTGTGAGTACGTGTTCCGTTATTATGGCCTGCCGGAGGACATCGTCTAAGACCGAGGCCCCCAGTTTACCTCCCGACTATCGTCCGCCTTCTTCAAAAACCTCCAGGTCAACATTAGTCTGACTTCCGGCTACCATCCCCAGTCCAACGGGCAGACAGAACGCCTGAATCAGGAGATCGGACGATTTCTACGAACTTACTGTCACTCCAATCAGACTGAATTGGCTAAATTTCTCATGTGGGCGGAATATGCACAGAACTCCCTGAGAAAGGCATCTACAGGCTTGACTCCCTTCTAATGCGTACTAGGCTTTCAACCTCCTCTATTCCCCTGGTCCGGTGAGACCACTGAACTCCCTGCAGTCGACACTTGGTTCAGAAGTTGCGAAGAGGTTTGGAACGCAGCCCA